TTTTTTTTTTTTGTCATTTTAAAAGTTTGACAGCCCTTTGTCACCATATGCTTTAACTGAATGGAAGAGAACAGTGTGATTTGTCCAAAATTATTTTTGATTTACAGAAGGAAGTAAGTCATGCGGGTTTGAAATGACATGAGTGTGAGTAAATGACAGAATTCTCTAGTTTTCTTTACTACGTTTGGGGCAATTCTTAAAGAATAGTAGTTGATGGTCTTACCAGGTTGAAGTGGGAACAGACTGCTGTGGGTTCCAGCCTGTAAAAAGAGGGTTACACACATTTTTTCCTTCCCTCTTTAAAAAAAAAAAGAAGTGTAGAGTGAAAGAGCACAGAACAGCTTTCAGTCTTCATATCATGTAAAAGAACTCTGTAATCAGAGTCTCTCCACCGTGTCTAAAGTGTTTCTGAAATGCCCTGACAGGCATGTATTATTTCCAGCCTCCACTCAGAAAATAAAGCCCTTTACACACATACATATGCCAACAACTGGATTCTTAACTCAATAGATTAAGAATATGTGAGAAAGAGTTTGCTCGCAGGCATATTTTCTTTGTTTTCACGACAGTTCAAAAACAGACCATGGGGTGCAAGAAACTCGGAAAGGCAACTCTGGCAAAGCATGGTGGGAGACCAGCTAAACCATCTTAGACAGGCACCCCAGACTTGTTTAAACTGGTTTCTTAATGGCCTTACCTGTTGGTTACTTGTTACATATTAAGTTCTAAATAGTCTAAATGAGATCTTTTTGTCTCAGAATGTGAACATGGTTTGAATTAAATTACGGTAACATCAGAGAAATACTAAAAGTTGTGCATGGCATGTGGTTTTCCCTGTTAAACTGTTTAGGGTCCTCTATACTACAGTACAGCAAGTTCACATGAGACAACACTACATACCACAGTCTTGACAATGGGTCGGTTTTGCTTGTAGGTTATCTGCATGTTTTTGTCTGAAAACAAAATGGTATGATCATCTTTCAGTTCCTCAGCCAAAATAACTTTGAATCGATGTTTGGGGTCTCTATTACCTCCCATGTTGGTGTTGTGGATCACTGGTTTGCTCCACATTCCACTATGGTCGTCTTTGTTGGATCGGACGCCAAATTCGTAGGGTGTGTTGGGCTTGAGGTTGTCGATTACGGTATCAGACGTGGGGCAGGTCTGGTAAATCCACTTCCTGTTTCTTTCTCTATAGCGAATGGTGTAATGCCTGGTTCAAAGACACATAGATTATTCAAGTATCCAGTAGGCAAACAGCTCAAGAGTCATTTCTACACCCTAGCTTTGGCATCAAATTATGATGAGGTCCCACATTTTCCCACACAAACTGGATTTCTATCACCATAGCTATGGTCAGGCTTTAAACAGTGGGGCTTATGTTTGGTGTATTAAGAGCATTGGTACTCGACTTTAGCTCCCAACTGTTTTGGTCCAGGTCAACATTTCCATTGGCCTTTCCAAAAGTCTCCCCTTAACAAAGAAAAAAAGTTAATTTACTTCTGCATATGAAAACCAGAGCGAGTTAGGGAGGCTGAGAGTATGTCATTCCGTCCCAACAGTGCTTGTATCCTCAAAAAGCATTTAAACATGTAGACACACACCACACCTGCAGTTGCAGGGATCCATATCCCACGCTTTTTTTTCCCCTCCGTGTAGAAAAACATTGCACTCATTGAATGGGTGTCTCGGTTACGCGACATAAATCCAGTCTCCTGTCAGTGCAGTGAGAACATTGAATAAAAACCTGCACTGCACTGTAATGCTTCTGAGGATGGGACCCCTAAATGCGGAAGAAAGGGTGCAATGATATTTCATTATCTTTTTTCCCCATGTTCTTTTAGGTTAAATGGTCCCTAAATATGAAGTGAAGTAAATTAAGTCTTCCGCTGGGATTTAGGGCACTCATATGGAACATGTTGGTGGAAGAAAAAGTAAAATCCAGATGTTCTGTGTGTAACTCACCCATCCTCCAAGCAGTCGTTCATGATGTTTCCTTCATAGGGTGTCTTTAAGTAGGTTCCCCAGGACAGAAGCACAGATGTCGGTGTGACGGAATCGATCACCAGATGAAGAGGTTTGTCCAGGTTCACTTTACCTGTTTCAAGCCCAGATTTATTCAATGTTACCAGAAGCTAATGCTAACTGAAGGTCTTCAAAGGTTCCCAGTGGTTCAATAGCACATCTGTTGCATATTTTCCACTAAATATACCCTGTCATGGACTGTTTAAATTTTTAATCCATTGCTAATACTTTTTTAAATTATGTTTTTATTTTTATTTTGCATGCTACCTGTGCAGTGCTTCTTCACATCATTGGTTGGGATGGGCTGAACAGCTACCAGGTACTTGGG